AATTTTACATTTTCTGAAATATTATCCACTATTCCAGAAAAAAATATTCTGAATTCTAAATCATGTATATCAGGTCACATTATTTAGGTAAGCTGATTCCCCATGTCAAATAGGCTATGGAAAATTTGAAAAAGAACCACCTACCTTAACATTCTTAAAGCTTATGATCTTGCCTTCCAAAAAACCCACTTCAAAATTATGTAAATATTAGTGCTCCAAGTATGATTCTGTTGCTTTCTACATGAAGATTTGAACTACATAGACAAAATATGATTCTTTAAGGGTTTCTTTCTCTCTATAGAGGTTAGTACTGCTTAAATACTCACAAAAGTTGAGAAATTCATATTTATGTTTATTTTATTTATTTAAACATCTACTTTGTATATAACTTAAGATAAAATTTCATAATTTTTTGCTTAATCACTATAAACACTGAGGTATAACATCAAAGACTTTTTTTTCATAGTTTTCACCCCCTATAGAAGGGGCAAGAGCCACTCAAGGTAGAGATTACTGAAGGTAGTGCATGAGCAGTAAGAGTATGGGTCTGCAATTTCTGCAGATATGTGGGAAATTAATTCTAGACTTCAAGAGTTTCGGATTGTAGTGGTCAGGAAAACATCCTCCTGGGATTCTGTTCTACAAAGTAACAATTCTTGGGAAGAAGCTATGTAAGTGGACATTATTCCTTACTAAAAGAATACAAAGGGAATCTAGGTGGTTCACCTCGATGTACATGGAATTTCTCTCTCTCTCCTTTCCCCACCTCGCCTTTAAATCAAACAACCCTGGACATAAGTGGAGAAATTATTGTTGATAAGCTTAGCTCTTTTAAACACACACATGATATCACTTAATGTGAAATGTTAAAAATAATAAAATAATAACTGCTAGTATATTGCCAATAAAACCCTCTTCACCAGGCAGACCACCCAATTCTTAAAAAACGAATGAGTAAATTTAGAATTCAGTAATAAAGTAGAGTTCAAATTGATGTCTATAAATCATGATCAAAACAGAGGAATCAAGTAATATTGCATCTTCATTAGCTGAGAACATTCCAACAATACCTAGAAGGAAAACGATACATGCATGGGATGACAATACCAAGATGGAAAGAAAGAAAGAGAAAGAAAAAGAGAAAGAAAAAGAGAAAGAAAGAAAGAGAAAGAAAGAAAGAGAAAGAAAGAAAGAGAAAGAAAAAAGAAAAAGAAAGAAAGAGAAAGAAAAAAGAAAAAGAAAGAAAGAAAGAAAGAAAGAAAGAAAGAAAGAAAAAGAAAGAAAGAAAAAGAAAGAAAGAAAAAGAGAAAAAGAAAAAGAGAAAAAGAAAAAGAGAAAAAGAAAGAAAAAGAGAAAAAGAAAGAAAAAAGAAAAGAAAAAAGAAAAAGAAAAAAAAAAAAAAAAAAAAAAAAAAAAAAAAAAAAAAAAAAAAAAAAAAAAAAAAAAAAAAAAAAAAAAAAAAAAAAAAAAAAAAAAAAAAAAAAAAAAAAAAAAAAAAAAAAAAAAAAAAGAAAAAAAAAAGAAAAAGAAAAAGAAAAAAAAAAGAAAAAGAAAAAAAAAAGAAAAAGAAAGAAAAAGAAAAAAAAGAACAAACAGAAGAGGTAAAAAACTGAAAGGAAAAATACTAAATTAACAAAGAAAATAAAAAAAGTTAATTCTTTGTGAAACCCGTATCTCTGAAAACTTCTAAGTTAATTTAATGAAGCCAAGCAATGTCAAAATATGATGAAAAGCAACAAATTACAATATCTTACCATCAAAACCACCACAGAAGAAATGTCCTGGTCTCAAAAACTACTTTTATATCACATTTCAACACTGACCACACTAAAATGAAGATGCTCACAGAAATAGAACATATACCAATATACATTCAGTCATTACAAACTGTCTCCAAAAAAACAATGTACTTAGTGATGAGAAAATTAAAAATGCAGCCCACAAAACCCTCACATATACAGAGGCATCTCAATTGGATCCATTATGGTGATAAAGTATTAATGAACATTATATTAATTAGACTGTCATCATTTTCTGAAAGAAAGGAAATTGTATACCTGATTTGTCAACCTCACTGCAATGCATTGATATAGACTTCCGTTTCTGCTACATTAGAAACTGCCTTCCAAATTCCAAACCCACAGAATGCATCAATCTAATAGAGGAATTGTATCAGTCTACAAAATCTTACATGTCTGGTGATGACCCCAATATAAAAACATTTCAAAGCTCATTAGGAGTACAAGAGAGCCTATTCATTTAATCTTTTCCTAGACTATGCCCTGCACATTTACAGACATAGATGTGAAAAGGCACTGAGCATTTAAACATTCTATACTACATCCCAAACAAATCAACCAATAGAAATCAACAATCTTGCTTTCTCTTCTGAGGCTAATGTACTGATGGTTTGGTTTGGTTTGTTTTACGGCATATCAACCTTATTGGGTCATTTAATGCCAACAACTTTTTTTTTTTTTTTTTTTTCCTGGTAATATTTTTGTTTTCTCAAAAATCTATTTCTGTTAATATTTTTTTCCTCAAAAATGTATAACTGGTAATATTATTTTTTCAAAATTGTATAGCTAGTAATATATTTTTTTCTTCAAAAATTTATTTCTGGTAATAATTTTTTACAAAGTATTTCTGGTATTTAAACCTATTTTTACACTTTTATAATGCTTTTTACCTCAGTCTCAGGGTTAACTATTTGCCCATAGCTGGGAGCCCAACAGCTGCTACCACCCCGGGTCAGGGTGGACCTGGGAACACCAGCAATTAAGAAGTGGTTCCACTTAATGTGCTGATGATGGGGGTGCTGATGACATAGGTATTCATAGTTGGGATAAGAAAAAAAAAAAAGTCAACATCCTGTCCCAAGTGTTCAAAGAAATAAAACTCCAGGTAAAACTTTTCAAAACAGAAAGTATGATATGATTGGAATGAAAGCAGTGATGGCACCTATTTTGAATGCATCATAAAAATTCAGGATGTGAGTTTAGTAAATATTAAACACTTCAAATATTTTGGCATATGATCAATTATAACTGATTTAGTATAGATGAATATTGAATATTATATTGAATACAGAATAGGTTGTGCTTGTGGTAGTTTAATCCAACAACAAATTCCTACAAAACCAAAACATTAACCTGAAAACTAAAGTCATGTTCTTAAATAGTCTCATCAGATCAAAATTTTCTTATGAATGCAATGAATGGCACCAAACCGAGGCAGAAATATCTAAACTGTCAGCTGTATACAATCACTTTCTAAAATCAATGGGTAAAAATGGCTTTGAGTGAGTGAAGCTTGTAGGTCTCAATGAAATCCGCAATTCTTTGAACCCTGTGGATTGGTGCTACAAAATCACAAATGAAGAATTGTACCAAATAAGTGAAACCATATCACTTGCAGACTTTCAACAACGGCAAGAACAAAAATGGATAGCAGATGCAACTTGAACAGAAAATAACAGCATCATAAAAATGTTGAAATTCCACACTACTTCAAATAAAAAGGTTGGTAAGAAAACCCTCATCAATACCGAAAAGAGGGATAACAGTTACCAGACGTGAGAAACTTATTTTCCTAAAAAATTGTTTTAAGAGAAAGACTTTATAAATTTCAACCAAAAGAAGTACTGGCTATGTGGTCAATGAATGCTGAATGTTTCCTTATAAGGGAATGGCTAATATTACCATTAGAGATAAGGAGAACAGATACCACACTTTGATCCCATCCCGATGTACAGGGAGTGAAGAAAAGCCTAACTTAAGTAGCATTGGCTGCTCGGTCAATGAATGCTGAATGTTTCCTTATAAGGGAATGGCTAATATTAGCATTAGAGATGAGGAGAACAGATACCACACTTTGATCCCATCCCGATGTACAGGGAGTGAAGAAAAGCCTAACTTAAGTAGCATTGGCTGCTCGGTCAATGAATGCTGAATGTTTCCTTATAAGGGAATGGCTAATATTACCATTAAATGGCAGGCAGCATTAATTGAGGTTTTATTGGAGATTGGTGGAGGTCATCAATTGACTTAAACTTTTTCCATTCATTCATGATGAGTTTAAATGATTAGTTATCAACTCTACAATTCACTAGGATAAATTAATTTATTGGTATTTATATAAAGATGGAAGAACAAGACAAAGACAAGAACAGGATAAGACAAGTGCTATGTCTAAATGCTTACTTTTCGCAGAGAGGAAAGAGGTGAAAAGCTTTGACAACATGGTGCAAAGAATGCATAACGCCATTGTGCCTGTAATGCTTCAAGAATATCAATGTGAAAAAAATAGGAACCAAACATTTATTTTCCTTCTATCATCATTTTTTTAATTTTAAGAGTTGAAATTGAAATAAAAATCAAAAGTACAATAAGTACAATATAAAAGTATAATTTAAATATCTGAAAAGTGTTTTTAATAGAGGAAACAAAGTGCAACACTGATATCTAAAGGTCCATTGAGATAGCAAAAGATGCCTTCCAAAAAGCTAAGCAAAATATTAAGAAACAGAAAAATTAGAAAAAAAAAAAAAAAAAAAAAGAAAAAAGACTACTGAACTGCCATGTAATGCCAGTTTTTCTATATCACTGTGAATGCTGGATAATATCCTCAGAGAGGAGATGTGAAGTAACAAAAATGTGGTTCTACAGAAGGATGCTGAGAATACCATGGATTGAATATGTGAGAAATGACAGTTTCAGAGAAAACAGAAACAAAAGGATTCTTATACTTAACATCAGAAAGAGACAGCTGAAATTTCTAGGGTACATAATGAGGAAAGAGGGCTTGGAAAATTGGGCACTCACAGAAAAGTTTGAAGAGGGACAGAAAACAACACATTAATTTTTTTTTATAGTTACCGATCTACAAATTAGCTAGAGTAATCCAGAGATTCCTGTAAAATGAACCCGAATGGAATTGGAACTCAGCTTCTGAATCTACAATTCCGAGCTGTTATGATTTACACTACCCACACATCCAAGCTGACAGCACCTGATATTTCCAAGTGGTCACTCATTTCGGTACTGACTCGGCTCAATGTTGCTTAACATCAGTGATTGTATGAGAACTGGTGTTTCAACATGTTATAGCTATAAGCCTATACTTAATGGATTTTAATTTTGTATTTAATTATGTTTGAGGGAAGTAATTGTGAGTTCAATCTCTGAGCTGGGTGATGTGTATTTGGACTCGGTGAAAACGGGATGAGCAATAGCTGAACAGTACTAAATAAGAACTAGACAGGGTCAGTGGAATGAGAATAATCTACCACCACAGATAAAGGGTTTAGACTGAAATTCACTGATGATTACCTAGATTGGTAAGGAGTTGAAAAGTTGTGATAACAACAACAAAGATGAGTATAATAGTTCACATGTAAATGATAACTCCCTGTGGTTGAAGAACTGAAGGAAAAAAAAAAAAAATGATTTATCACCAGTACAAAGATCTAGTATTCATACTCCTAACATTGCTTTTGTTTCATTAAAACCATTTTAAGGTAGATAATTAATTCAAGGATTAAAATAGATATAATAAAAAATTAGCTCTAAAAGTTTTGAAACTTTCATCAACTTTTGTATAAATTTTATACCGTACCTATGGACTATAATTGGGATATGCCAAACTGTATAAATACAGTAGAATATACTGTAAGTGGTAGTCATTTGGATTCGCTTCCAAGTGTGCTGGTCAAACTCTCTGCCTCTGGGCAGAGAGGAATCTCTGACGAGGCTATGTCAAAGGGTAGAGTCTTGTCTGCGAAGACAGCTACCGACCCTGTTTTTATGGGGTCTATGGGGAATTTTTGACCAAGTCTACAGGTTCAGATACCTCACAATAAAACTTGACCTTGTGCCACATCCGACCATGTGTGGTGGTACGTGAATTGAATATAAAGTCGTCTAGAAAAAAAAAAAGGCCAGTCATAAGGCGAATATTTAACAATGTTACAATCATGGAAATGCAAGATTTTGTTAATGACCATCAGAAAGAATATAAAAATTACATTACTGAATGGGAAACAGGGAATTGTTTTAGATCCTATGATCATCGTATAGTTGAGTATGGGTTTCTGCAGTGGCCAAATGGTAAAAGCACTAATGATGATGACAAACGAAGGAGATGTTTATTGTGGCCAAAGCAAACATCAAAGAACCAATAAGAAATACAATGAAATTGATTCTGTCACATGTGAACACAAGCTACACTCTGCATCCTAGAAATTAAGACAAAAATTATTTGCTCCAAGCATAAATTTTAATATTAAATCATAAATACTAGGGGACTTATTAAAAAAAAAAAAGAAAGAGAGGAAAAAGAAAGAGAGGAAAAGAAAGAGAGGAAAAAGAAAAGAAAAGAAAGAGAGGAAAAGAAAGAGAGGAAAAGAAAGAGAGGAAAAGAAAGAGAGGAAAAGAAAGAGAGGAAAAGAAAGAGAGGAAAAGAAAGAGAGGAAAAGAAAGAGAGGAAAAGAAAGAGAGGAAAAGAAAGAGAGGAAAAGAAAGAGAGGAAAAGAAAGAGAGGAAAAAGAAAGAGAGGAAAAAGAAAGAGAGGAAAAAGAAAGAGAGGAAAAAGAAAGAGAGGAAAAAGAAAGAGAGGAAAAAGAAAGAGAGGAAAAAGAAAGAGAGGAAAAAGAAAGAGAGGAAAAAAAAAGAGAGGAAAAAAAAAGAGAGGAAAAAAAAAGAGAGGAAAAGAAAGAAGAAAAAGAAGGAAAAAAGAGGAAAAAGAAAGAGAGGAAAAGAAAGAGAGGAAAAAGAAAGAGAGGAAAAAGAAAGAGAGGAAAAAGAAAGAGAGGAAAAAGAAAGAGAGGAAAAAGAAAGAGAGGAAAAAGAAAGAGAGGAAAAAAAAATGAAAAGAAAAGAAAAAAAGAAACAACTGTGGATGCCATCAACAATGGTAATACATTGAAGACCACCCGATATTTCATCAATAACACACTGACTGCAAATATTACCATATATTGGTGACATGACATTTCAGCTTGTAATGTGTCTCTAGATACCAGTGATCATTATATTTTAAGTTGCTTTGCCAAATGTAGGAGATATTTATGTGTACATGTATATCTATAATTCTCAAAATGAGTGTGTGTGTGTGTGTGTGTGTGTGTGTGTGTGTGTGTGTGTGTGTGTGTGTGTGATCGGATGTTGTTCATGCATTTCCAGTTTTCATCAGATTTTGATGAAATTGTTTTTTTGCTTGATAGATAATTCTTCAGTGCCAGTTTTCAGTCCAAATTATTAGCGAAAATTGCTTCCTGTTCATTATAACTCTCAGCAACGTTTTACTATTTACTGTTCTGGGATATATATCTTTCATAAAAACTTTAATAAAAGTAAACAGTTTAAATTATTACAATAATATTATTATTAAACAGTTCCCTTTTCAGAGCCACCCCTATTCAAACCGTTCACCACCTCATTTGGAGTTGTGCCTCAGTTGCACCCAAATGTTGTTACTAATATTGATTTTCAGGTGGGCTGACTTTAAAGTTAAACTGCTCCAAGTGAACAAAAACTCCCAGAAATGAAAGACCTGGTCAAAGACGGGTTATACTGATAGTATTTCCATATAAAGCAATGCCTGTAGCTTCCTGCAAAATCATGGTAAAATGTGTATAGCACTCTGCTTCTACTGATTTTTACTTCAATGCCTTATAAATGTATTGCAGGTTTTAAAAAAAAAAAAAAAAAACCCTCAAGGAATTTATTGATTGAACTCCAATATTAGTAATGCTGATGGAATTAATTTTCTTACCAATATAGAGTGACATGGATGTCACCAAAATAAACAGCAACTTCTATCTGTCAACCATGTGTCTGAAACCCCTTTAGCTTGGGCCACACTTACTCTAGACATATACCTTTTTGAAATCAGAATGACCCAAGGATTGAAAATCTGATGCAGGAAAATCCATCATTAGATTTGTGTCCAGATGAGAAGGGAAGTTAAAAATTCAAATTTAAAATAATTGAAAAAACAAAAGAAAAAAAAAAGTGATTTTAAAAGTTTTTAATTTATACCGAGCTTTAAGTAACACAAAAACTTTGTGAATTTTTGCTTTAAATTCAGTTTAAAATATCTCCAAAACTTTGTGAATTGAGGAAATCAATTTTATTTCTTCAAAATTGAAAGGAATCAGAGTTAAAGTGAGAGGTTTCATGACACAAGGTTTTGAAGAACTAAACTCAATTGTAGTTTCACAGAGTTTTTTATTTGAAGAGCTAAATTTTTGACCCAAATAGAAATTTTAATCCAAATTGGTGTTATAGCCCAAATCAGAGTTAAAGTGAGGTTTCATGGAATGAACTGAAGAATTCAAAGTTATTTCTTCAAAATTATCATTGCTGTTTTTTAAGCTGGACTAGAGGTCCCTTTAAGTTTTGGGCTGGAGGCCCAATTAACCCTCTGCAGGAGCTAGCTTAATAGTTCACAAGGAGTGCAGCATTTAAGCTAGTTATAAAATAAATGTAAATTGCATTTATAGGACATAATAATGCTTCTTTATTTGCCATGAAGCATCTAATTGTTAGAAAATAATGTATATACAGTAAGACCCAGGGATACGACAGTCCCACCCTGCAAGGGTTCATAGTTAAAACAAAATCTCCATTAATCTTGTTTTGACTTATGTCGCTTGCCTCATGCATATAGTGTAAACAGTGCAGTGAAAGAATACAAATGAAGTATTTTTTTTTTCATTTCATTATATGTATTATGTCTTCCATGTGTTTTTTAGTCCTAATTATGTTAACATGTGACATAGAAATGTGTTATGTCCTAGATTATTAGATTTATACATTCAGAATGCTTTAAAAATTCCATTTACAAGACAATTGTTTATAATAAAATTCTAATTCTATTCAATCGGGGGACTTATCATAACGATTGAAAACAATGTTTTTGTTTGAGTTTGACCAATTCATAAAAAAAAAACAAAAAAAAAAAAACCAAGACATGCGTGTCCGTCAACCTAAACAATAATCTAACGATCTCTACTGATTGTACGAATTGAAAAATCGGATAATTCTTTATCTTTAGGGAAAGATAATTCCACGTACTTTAGGGCCATTTTTACAATTCCCTTTGCAATTTGTTACAAGGCAGATCAATAAAGCATGGGTTCTATTTGAAATTAATTCAATATTTAAAAGAAAGTATTAAGAAATAATTTAAAAATGCTGACGTAAAATCTGATAGACAAAAAACAACAATATTTCGAAGATGATAATTATTAAGGAAAGAACACAGTACTTGTAATAAAATTAATAAACCCAAAATAAAGTTAATATTTTTTGTATTAGAAACAACGAGTGGAAAATATATTCAAATCAGAATTCTAATTATGAATCACCACAAGCAAAATATGCAATTTTTTTTACTGTATTCAATAAGTAAAAATCATAAATTGTAAAAGATTACAAAGAAAGGCTACCTACATTTTTCAACCGATTTCAACAAAACTTCACTTTTTTTTGGCAGGTAGTGTTTCTTATTGTCTTGCACATTTTTTCTTTATTTTTACATTCAGAATGCTTTAAAAATTCCATTTACAAGACAATTGTTTATAATAAAATTCTATTCACCAATCGATAGACTCATAACGATTGTAAACAATGGTTTTGTTTGAATTTGGGTTTGACCAATTCGTAAAAAAAAAAAAAAAAAAAAAAAAAAAAAAAAACTAATAAAAACATGCGTGTCCGTCAACCTTAAACAATAATCTTTGTCAATTTTATTTTACAGTCGATGTGGTCGATACTTGATCTATCTCTTACTGTTACATCCCCGGGCAACGCCGGGCTCTACTGCTAGTGTATTATGTCTTCCATGTGTTTTTTAAGCCTAATTATGTTAACATGTGACATAGAAATGTGTTATGTCCTAGATTATTAGATTTTAATATTGCATTAGCATAGGTGAGTGACATAAATGCTTATTCGCAGAAAATCATGGCTAAGTTCTGATTTACATGGAAAATCACATTACGAGGCATCAGAGGAATAGACCTGTTACAAGTCAAGGAACTCCTTTCAGAAATCTGTAAAAAATATAATGCCCAAAAGAAAATTGCCATCAACACTAGTTCC